CTCCATTGTTTTGGAGAACAAGGAGGTGATGGCGATAGGCCGGTAGTTGGACGGGTCTGAGCGGTCGCCTTTTTTAGGGATCGGGTGGACGAAAGCCGTCTTCCATGATTTTGGGACTACGCCTAGGGAGTAGGAGTACCGGAAAAGACGCGTTAAAACCGGTGCCAACTCTGGAGCACACGTCCTCAGCACAATTGGGGGGATTCCATCAGGCCCACTCGACTTATGGATGTCCAGGGAGAGGAGTGCTTTGCGAACCGAGCGCTGAGTGAAGTGCACTTCCGGCATGGAGCACTCACACCGCGGGATGGTCGGCGGCGTACTCCCCCCGTCATCGAGAGTCGAGTTAGACGCAAAGAAAGAGCCTAGAAGATCGGCTTTCTCCTTTGCGGTGTGGGCCAGTGAGTCGTCCTCCCTGTGCAGAGATGGAAGAGATGGCTGACAGAAATTCCCCTGGACAGCCTTGGCGAGAGACCAGAATGCACGGGTTCCAGAAGGAAGACGAACTAGTCTCTCGCCAATTCTGCCTATGTGCTCTGACTTTGCCTTGGCAATGACTCTTTTGAAGGACCTAGAGGCGGAATTATACTTCTTTTTTAGAGCGCTGGTGTTTACATCCCTGGACGCTGATGCGTCAGCCCAGGCTTGGTAGCACTCCTGCTTATAGCATGATGCTATTTTACAGGAGCGACCAAACCATGGCTGAGATTTGCCTCCAATGGGCACCACAGAGGAAGGAATAAAAAGTTCCATACCCTGAAGTACCACATCAGCGACAGAATCCGCAACAACGTTGGGATCATCCGGCGAGAAGCAAACCCGCCCCCAAGGGTAGGATGCAAAGAAAGACCGCATCCCATCCCAATCAGCTGACCTATAGTGCCAAACACGGCGGCAGCCTGCAGAATGCAACCGCGATTTCAGCGTGAGTGGCACCACACTCCGGACAAGACAATGATCCGAGGAGCCTAAAGGGGCGTCGACGGAAATCTGATATCCGTCCGGGTGAGAGGTCAGCAGAAGGTCCAACAGGGAAGGTGCATGATCCTCCACATCTGGAATCCGCGTAGGCGAAGTAACCAGTTGTGTCAGACCATATGCCAAGGCAAAATCACGAACAGATCTCCCCGCATGATCGGTTAAACGTGAACCGAGCCATTCGGCGTGATGGGCGTTGAAGTCGCCGAGGATCACGATCTCTGCGGAGGGGATCTGCTGTAGCAACGAATCTGCAGCCATTTGGACGTGGTCGAAGAGTCGGTCTGTTTCGGCATTACCGCTATGGGACCTATAGAGGCACCCGTAGACGCGCGGATGGTCGTCGCTGTCTACGCGTAGCCAAAGGATGGACAGGTCCGAACCTTCAAGTCTGCCGAGGCGTCGAGAACAGATGTCCTCTCTGACGTAAACGCAAACTCCAGCCCGAGGCACAAAGGAGTGTTCCAGTTTGTACCCCGGGTAGGAGAGATACGAGACATCAGCCGGAGAGGACACCTGCGTCTCGGTCAGAAAGAGCAGAGCCGGCCTCGCCGTCTCGAGATGGTAGTGGACGGCGTTTAGGTTAGAGTGAAGTCCCCTGATATTGCAGAAATTCACGGACAGCGTGGCAGGGGTCGCCTTGGTCTTGTTGCTCCGTTTGCCCCGAGCAGTTTTAGTCTTGAGCGGAATATTGCCCCCCCCCAGAATACGCGGGGCAGCCTGAGCACCCACGCTCAGAAGTGGAGAAACATGGTCGTGGATGCTCAGCGAGGGATTCTCCAGGGGTGCTGGTACCCTCCTGGGGTAGTCTATCATTTAATTCCGCTACCATGTTGATGGGGGGGGGGGGGGGGGGATTTGGGCCTCCGGCCACCTGCACTCACCAGACGAAACGCGGAAGCAGAGCTTCCACTTCACGCCGGTATTCTGTGAGGTCGTGGTACCACCCCGGTTTGAGCCGGCCCATACGTGCGACAGCAAAGCTGCCGCGTGGCTCTACCACTGTTAAAGGCTCAGGCCGAGCCTACATAACACATCCATTAATCTGCCTTAGTTAGGCACTCTTCTAAGCGGCTTTTCGCCGCTTGCGCCCTCCTTTCTGCCAAGGAGGGTCGCGTTCGTATACGGCTTAGAGATCTCTAGTCAGATCGTTAAGCCATTTCCTAAAAGGCGGTGTTTAGTGGGTAAAAGTCTCCACATAACCACGCAGCCGGCTGCGTGGTATGCTATGAGCATTCACCGCCTCCCTCCCCCGCTTTCCGGAGGGTTGCCCATATTTGCTTCGGGCGCAAAAAAAAAGGGACTATCTGTAACACCTATAGTAAATAAATGTTTGTTAAAGGTGCCGTGTCCTGTGATAGCACTTGTTACTATCCACTACACGGTTAATATAATTCTTATTTGCGCCGCTACGTCCTTAAGTTGGTGTCTGCTGTCTGACATTACCTGAGTGAACTTATTTACTTAGGGTAGTGCATATACTCATTTGTATCCGTAACTTTATTTTATATGTGGTAGAGCCACGTTGCAGCTATACTATGGTTAGTATGGTGGGAAAGGAACACGCTCTCAGAGTACTAGCGTGAAAAGCAGCTTAATACTGCCGTGTTTTGTATGTGGTGAGTGTAGAGATCCTGAAACCGTTACTGGAAACGAGGCATTTCATTTTAGTCCTCAGGGGTGACAACACATCTTCGTTTTAATTCTTAATCGAGGATAAATGTAGATGTCTATGGGAAACAGGATCCACTTACCATCAGGTGGACTGTGCTAGTTTGTCACCCTTATTCTATAAAAAAAACATTTCTTCATCCAATTTATTAAAAATATCCCATAGTGAAAAGCAAGTAATTTAGGAGGAAATTATTTCATTAAAGTATTATTATTTGATCCTTTAAGTGAGCTAAGCGATAATATCATAACCTCAAGTTAAAAACTAACGAGTTAACAGTTATTTTAAGAATTTAATACAGGGAATAATAATGAAATTTTACATCAAATTTTTAATGGCACAAATTAAGATAAATTCTTGAAAAAATACAGTCAAATTGAGAATCTACTTCTTTTGTTTTCTTCTATGAAGTCTGCTAAAAAGCCTACAACTAGGTTTTTTACAATGATAATGTAAATGTCTAATGTATGAGCCTCACCCGCAGCATTTACTTACCATCAAGTTGAATGTTTGATCGTTTGTCTCCATTATTCAAAAGTAAAAAAAGATTTTAAATTGAAGTTTACCCCTATGATCAAGTTTAGAAAAAAGGCTATTACATCAGTACTAACTTGGCCAGTTTTTATAGGCTGCCAGTGGGCTATAAAGACAGGATTGATGGATATACTGGGGATGGGCAGCAGCGTAAAATGTGTGAGACGTCTGATAGCAAATCCTTTCTTCATAACAATGAGATCAATGTTCAATAGTGTACTTACTGAAATAATGTAACACAGTCCACATAAAGCGCACATGCTTTCTCTAATTTCTAAGAGAATTTTGAAACTGAATCTGCCATGCCTTAGTTGCTGAACTTCAGAATTCCTCAACATATTATTTCTTGTCATGCACATTTACTTATGATGTATTCTTTCACCTATCAGCAAGTGGTAAAGTGTCTTTTAAAATTCTAATTAATAATTAAATTCGTACTGGTAGGAACAAATTTTGGTTACTTGCATACAGTGAGATAAAAGATGAGCACTTATTACACTTATATAATATTAGTTCTCTTCATTGAAGTAGAAAACTCAACCTATTAAAGTAAGCCTTAATTGGTGCAACCAGGGGTACCCATAAACAAAACATGAATTATAGTCTATTTAATATAGGTTGCATTGGGTGACATTGATGGAATTACATTATATACAACATATCTTTGCATAATTTGCAATGATTTAATGTACCACAAATTTTAAAGCACTTGTCATAATATATTATGACAAGTGCTTTAAAATTACAATTGCTTGTACAAAATACAATTGCTTGAAGCGACAGTAGCCTAATGGCAGGGTGCGGACCGCAAACTCAACAAGATCTTGGGTTCGAATTAAGCAATTTAACCTTATCACGAGTGGTTAAGGGGATTATTAGTAATGTTTATAGCATTATTAATATTCTTTTTTTTTTAAATTGTTAATTACATGTATGAAAAAGCTGTTAATGTCTTGCATATTGAATTTGATTCACAGAAGTTAGTCTCAAGAAAGATTAGCCATCTGTGCAAAATAGAATTATAGCACTCAAGTATGTGGCCAAGTATATATGCACTTTCTATTACCTCACCGTCATAGCCCAATGGAACTGCAATCCTATATGAACTATACCAGATCAGTGACATTGTCACTGATGTGTGGATAAACTTTGATGGTACAAATGTCCCTAATTTGACATAGGAAAAGTAAATTTCTAATTTTAATTAGACATAGTTACACAAAAAGGAATTAACATTTACTCAGGTTTTTACCAAAATAATACATGGAGTCTTATAATGTTATAAAGAAAAATTATATCAAAAATTATCGAAGCAAAGGTACTATCTATATCTCTAAAGTGGTGTCTGTAGGTTAGATTCTCCCTGTATAAATATGTCCAATTGTGATGCAACAAACATTTCTGTTTAAATTAAAATACATGTGTATTTGCTAACTATCTTTATTTACATAATACATTAGATTATTGGTTGCTTTTAATTAAAACTCTCACTATTTCGGGTCATGAGGGAGCTTGAAACCGACCATTCTAGCTGTATCTTCAACACTCCTTTCACCTTTCCCTTTGAACTCAGCATTAATTTCCTTGTATCTTCGACAATTATGTAAGTAGTCACAATAAGATTTTGCCTTAAAATGCATTTCATCAATTGCTTTACAAAGCTGCTGGTCTGTTGACTGATATTTTCTATACTGGTTCAAAATGTATCGAGCCATTTCATTTTCTGTTAATTTATTAGATGAACTCTGTTTTCTTAGCTCCGAAAGGAGCTGTCGCAAAGTCACTAAAGCTGGTTTTGATGTTATGGACGCCATAGTCAACCCTTAAAAGAATTTAAATATCTAATTTTTCAACCATGACTGATGTTATAAATTCTTCTAAATCTTCATATTTAGGCTTCTCATTTTGAGCCCAAAATTCTGAGTCTATTTTAGCTAATTTTTCTTTATTTATATAATGCACTGAAGTATCATTAAAAATATCTTTATAATAAAAAGTATTTTCTAATAAAATTTCATCAATGTAAGGAAATATTTTATGAATGTAAGGGACACTTTTAGATAATATTCTACTAGGGTGATTTTCTATTAAAGATGTGAAGCTATTGCAAAGGAGAATGCAATTTTCTAATTTGAAACCCCAATTACTCCAAAGGAAGTTGTTTGTTAATTGTTTAGGGCAATGGGGTAGGTATACAAGAGTTTTGTATACGTCAGATATTACATAACTTCCCTCATTATTTCTCTCAATTATTATCAAACCGAAGCGTGTGAGTAATTCACATTCAGCTGAATAAAATATAGGATCATGAACTAACACTTTTTGTGATTTGAAATTGTCCTTTAAACATAATAAAAATGCAAGTTGATAACGAGAAATATTGCACTCTCCGATATGTCCGAGTCCAAAACAAACAATTTCTGATATTATTCTATCGTTTGATAATGTACTCACAGCTTTCCTAACGTCGCTAAAATAATCGGATTCTTTTATTTCGTCTACAGCAGTCAAAACTCGCCTGAGAACAAAAGCAACGCTGATATATAACCTAAAAGTACAGTGGTATAGAGGTAATAACTAATGCTTACTGATAGGATGCCTCAACGTCAATATAGTTTTCTGGTTTTATAAATTCCACCTCTTTGCGAGGAATTTTCGTTTGTTTATTTTTAGTGCGACGTTTAGATGTAACTATTTGAAAACCATCGCCATCTATTTCTTGTTGTGACATTTTACAATTTTCCATATTAAGCATAGATAAATATATTCTTATTAAGATTTTTGGCTTGGATACTTGTCTTTTAAGCCATGTCTTCATTTCATTCAGAATAGCGCTAGTCACTGATCTCTATATAAGTACCCACGCGAACTGGCTATGCCCAGTGGTGGCCCTAGCAAAATTTTTAGGTGGTGCGAGATCCCATAATGGCGCCCCTCTAAATACAAAACCTTGGTGTTGCTATACTAAGCAGCTGCATTTCCGTGAATTTAAATAGTATTAGACCTAGACCTATCAAATATCTACTATATGCGGGGCAATAACAGTTGTATCTGTCGCTCTTGCCATAGCAGTTGTTCTGCTCATTCGCGTTAAAGAAATGTTGTCCATTCCACTCGCACTACTCTGTTGCGCGCAAAAACTCTCCGATCATACTTTTAATCTCATCGCGGTTAGACGAGAAATGAAGCTGTAGTCTTCAGCAGATTTGACATCATATAGGCAACTGAACAGAGAGATCTTCAAATACATGCGGCGAGACTTATGCAACTTTAATACTGCACGTATTGAAGAAGCGATCGAGCGGAACCAGGGCTCCAAAGCCTTTGCCAAAGATCTGTTTGCCAGAAAGAGCTAACTGTCAAAGCTGAAGACTGAGTGTGGCAGCATCGTTTCCGAGACACCTGAGATTTTGAGTGAGATTGAAAGGTTCTATGGGCAGATGTATACATCTTCGTTGGAGCTACACGCAACTGTGAGTAACGATTCAAGAGCAAGTCTTATCCGTCACTATTCCGATGATATCTCGGACGTTAGTCTGAGCGAGATTAGAATGGCTCTCCAGCACCTTAAAAACGGCAGGGCGCCAGGTGAGGATGGAATCAGAGCGGAGCTTCTGAAAGTGGGTGGAACACCGGTACTTAAAGTCCTTCTAAAGCTCTTTAATTCCGTCCTCCATGGTGGCACTACTCTGGAGGCGTGGAGCAGAAGTGCGGTGGTCTTGTTCTTTAAGAAAGGCGACAACGCTCTCTTGAAGAACTACAGACTGATTTCCTTTCTGAGCCGCGTCTACGTGCTGTTTTCGAGAGTCGTTACGAATCGTCTCGCACGCAGACTCGACGACTTCCAGCCTCCCGAACAGGCCGGTTTCCGAAAAGGCTTCAGTACCATAGACCACATACATACCCTGCGGCAAATTGCACAGAAGACCAAAGAGTATAATCTGCCACTTTGCCTGACGTATGTGAACTATGAGAAAGCTTTTCATTCCGTCGAAATTTGGGCGGTGCTGCAGTCCCTTCAGCGGTGCCAAGTTGACTGCTGGTATATCGAAGTGCTGAAGTGCTTGTACTACAGTAGGGCTACAATGGATATCCGAGTACAGAACCAGAGTTCGAAACCTATCCAACTGCAGAGAGGTGTAAGACAAGGTGACGTCATATCCCCGAAACTCTTCACCGCTGATTTTGGAAGACGTTTTCAAGCTACTGGACTGGAAAGTATACGGTATTAACATCAATGGCGAATACATCACTCACCTTCGATTTGCCGACGATATAGTCCTTATGGCAGAATCGCTGGAGGACCTAAGCACTATGCTCAATGACTTCAATGGTGTCTCTCAACGGATAGGTCTTAAGATGTACATGGACAAAACAAAGATCATGTTTAATGTCCATGTCACACCTATGCCGGCAGTTGTTAGGAGCACTATGCTCGAAGTTATTGACGAGTACGTTTACCTGGGACAAATAGTCCGACTAGGTAAGTCCACCTTCGTCCGAGAGGTCAATCGACGGATTCAACTCGGTTGGGCAGCGTTCGGGAAATTACGACACATCTTCTCGTCAGGTGTACCTCAAACTCTGAAAACTAGATTGTACAACCAGTGCGTGTTGCCAGTGATAACTTATGGATCTGAGACGTGGTCCTTCATTGCTGGCCGTATGAGGACGCTCAAGGTCGCTCAGCGAGCTATGGAGAGGACTATGCTCGGAGTTTCTTTGCGTGATAGACTCAGAAATTAGCATATCCGCAGTAAAACCAGGGTGAGCGACATAACCCAACGGATTAGTAAGCTAAGCTAGCTAAGTGGCAACTGGCCGGCCATATAGCTGGAAGAACCGATAACCGATGGGGAAGAAAGGTTCTCGAGTGGCAGCCTCGTACTGGTAGGCGTAGTGTAGGGCAAACCCCCACTAGATGGAGTGACGACCTGGTAACATGCAGGAAGTCGATGGATGCAGGCGGCTCAGGACCGTGGCATTCCTTGGGGGAGGCCTATGTTCAGCAGTGGACTTGTGACGGGCTACACTACACGAGGAATCCTCAGGTGATGTAGATTCTGCGATGGCTGACCGCTAAGTGCTTAGTTCTTATTTTAATTTTTGTCATGTACATATTGATAATAAATAATCATAAATACAATATTATCTATAAATCAATATTATTTTATATTATTACTAGGCGAAACACGTGTCGTATTATCGTCGATGGTGTGTCATTCCTAGTGTAGTGGTGTTGGGAGTAGTGGTGCTCGGATTAGTGGTGACGGGATTAGTACACGTAATTGAGGGAGGGTGTGAGGTGCTCTTCAAACTAGGTAAGACACATCATTTTATTGTTCACTTTTTAATAACACGCCCAATATAAGACACTTCAATTTGGATGAGTAGAGGCGTGATCCAGGATTCTATCGGAAAAACTTGATAAAATAGATAAAATAAATGGTCATTGATATATAATATTACTAAACTGGAATGGAAGATTAACCTTGAGTTAGAAGAATTTTGAACTTCAAGTGACCTTTTCGTGTGTATATGTAAATAGTTTCTCGGAAACGGCTTCAACGATTGTGATGTTAGTTTTTAAGTTCTATCTAGCGGCTAGATAGAGCAAATAATGGGATGGGGTGACACATAGTAAACAAATTCTCAAACGCTGCTCAATTTTTAAATGCCGTTAAGTCTAATGATGTCTCTTTAAGTCCAAGTGAATGTGATACCAAGAGACTTAACGACCTCATAAAATTGAGTACCATTTGTATTTGGCCATAAGTCATCAATTTACATAATTAATTGTGATTTTGTGACGCAAGCACAAATAATTGACGATTGCGATTTGCTGCAACTTACGCAAACCTAGTTAACTGTATAAGTACGGGAAGATTGAAAGATAAAATGTTTTTTATTCACCCTAAAACGTAAATTATTCATTTTCTGTACTTAGATAAACATCAGTTACATACGCGGTAATAGACTGAAGCTACTGAAGCGACGTACAAGCCAATCGAGCTTGGCAGAAGACTGTCAAGCGTGACATCACACGTTACTGACGCGTTATCTGCATTTATTTCATTGAGCTATTATGTACTACGTACTAGAGGAGACACTGCATTCAGCTACTCTGTTCCACTCAACTGCGGTGCATGCACTGCACTTTAATCAGTCACTCGCTAGGCGCTTGTAGAGTTGTCACGTGTTGTGTTGATTTAAAAAAAATCTCTTGATAAAAATATGCCGTCTTGTGTACTTAGATATTGCACAAATAATTCAAGAAATGTCAGTAAAAACCAAGGAATTACTTTTCATCGGTTAATAAGATACTTATTCAATAAAAAAGTATTATAAATTAATAATAAAGCAAATTATTCCTAAGACGCCATCTCGTATCATTGAATATAGATTATGAAATTAATATGTTCAGATGCGACATTTCTGTGGGTATTTAAGTTTAGGACGAATATATTATTATACTACACATTTTTTTTGTAGAAACATATAAGTTATTATAATTAAGCTAAATTTTTCATGTTTAAATCTGCTTATTATTCTTTTATTTTATTTTTAGGTTTCCACTTCAAAGTCAAAGTGGAATAAATTCGTCCATTTTTAACTCTCGCGTGACCAGCATTTATGAACGATTATTTACAACATTTATGATTCTAATTTAAATAAATATATTTGTAATTTAAATTTTATGTTAATAAGTTTTGTTAAACATACATTTAGTACGTTTTTTTTATATTTGACATAGATACCTTTTAAAATATTCAGATAACAATATCATCAAAATGTAATTCTGACATAATATTATGTAATATTATATTAAATTAGCACATATACAAAATAAAAAACATTTTAAAAAATTGTAAGTACTCGATATAATTAACAATACAATATAAATAAACAATTATTACATACTGACCATTCTACTTACGTATAATCTATAATAACAAAAACTGACCGCGCAAGCGCAAAGCGCGTTTATACCAACTGCGCATGCGCGACTCTACTATTACCGCGCATGCGCGAAGACATAGAAGTAGCGCACAATTTTTGTTTGGAATAGCTTCTCTAGTACGTAGTACATTATAACTCAATGATTTATTTGCATTATTACGTAGTAGATACTATTATTTATTTTGTGTACTATTATTTATTCTGTGACATTGTCCGGTAAATATAGTAAAGTTACAGCCTATATACGTCCCACTGCTGGGCACAGGTCTCCCCTCATTTCTGAGAGGGTTTTAAGGGCAAGGAAGTGTACGCCGCGCTGCCCCAATGCGTGTTGGCGAACTTCACGTGTCTACGAAATATTTTTTTTCTTATTCCTCAGACATGCAGGTTTCACTTTTTCCTTCACCGCCGAGCGCGTGGTAAATCAGCACTTAAAATTGCAATTAACAATTTCATTGGTGCCGGCGGGAATCGAACCCAGGTTACTCGCGTTCTGTTATACTCGTATTTACAGCGAGCGCTAACCATGTGAGCTACCACGGCTCTTGTCACATTGTCCGGTACCGATTGTAAAAAGCTATGAAAGTAAATGTTCAACTTGAAATTTATTAACTACTTATACTAATTTTAGATTCGACAGTAGTCTTTCATTCATAATTCTATCGAAAGTCCACTGCTGCCATGTCTACATTTGCCATAGTTGCCATGCTCGGAAGGTAATTGACATTTTTCATCTTTTGAATAGTTATCATTTTTCATTCCATCGCCTTT